TAAACTTTTTTTTAAACATATGTTTTTAAAACTTTGGGTTACAAATTTTCTCCCTTCCTCCCTCCCTACCCACCCTCATTGAAAAGGCAAGCGACTCTATGCAGATTATGTATGTGCAATCATGCAAAACACTTCCATAGTAGTCATGTTGTGAAAAACTAATTGTATTTCCCTTCATCCTATCCTAGCCCCCATTTATTCTATTCTCTCTTTTGACCCTGCCCCTCTTCAGAAGTGTTTGCTTCTGATTATCCCCTCCCCCAATCTGCCCTCCCCTCTGTCATCCCCCTGCTCTCTTGTCCCCTTCCCCCCTTATTTGCCCATAGAGTAAGATAGATTTCCATACCCAATTGTGTATGTTATTCTCTCCTTAAGCCAAATTCTATGAGAATGAGGTTCACTCATTCCCTCTTACCTTCCCCCGTTTCTCTCCACTGTAAAAGCCTTTTCTTGTCTGTTTCGTGTGAGATAATTTACCCCATTCTACCTCTCTCTTTCTCCTTCTCCCAGTATAATCCTCTCTCACCCCTTAATTTTATTCTTCAGATATCACCTCTTCATCTTCAATTCACTCTGTGCCTTCCATCTATCTATCTATCTATCTATCTATCTATCTATCTATCTATCTATCTATCCATGTAATTTTTTTCCCTCCCACTACCCTAATACTGACAAAGGACTCATGCGTTACAAATATCATCTTTCCATGCAGGAATGTAAACAGTTCAACCTTAATAAGTCTCTTATGATTTCTCTTTCCTGTTTACCTCTTCATGTTTCACTTGAGTCTTGTATTTGAAAGTGAAAGTTTCTATTCAGCTCTAGTCTTTTCATCAAGAATGCTTGAAAGTCCCCTATTTCACTGAATGACCATTTTTCCCCTCAAGGATTATACTCAGTTTTCCTGGATACGTGATTCTTGGCTGTAATCCTATCTCCTTTGCCCTCTGTGGAATATTATGTTCCATGCCCTCTGGTCCCTTAATGTAGAAGCTGCTAAATCTTGTGTTATACTGATTGTGTTTCCACAATACTTGAATTGTTTCTTTCTGGCTGCTATTTTCTCCTTGATCTGGGAATTTTGGAATTTGGCTACAATATTCCTAGGAGCTTTCCTTTGGGGATCTCTTTCAGGAAGTGATTGGTGGATTCTTTCAATTTCTATTTTACCCTCTGGTTCTAAAATATCAGGGCAGTTTTCTTTTTTTGATCATGGTTTTCAGATAGTCTAATAATTTTTAAGTTATCTCTCCTGGATCTATTTTCCAAGTCAGTTGTATTTCCAGTGAGATATTTCATATTGTCTTCTACTTTTTCATTCTTTTGGATTTGTTTTATAGTGCCTTTATTTCTCATAAAGTCATAGCTTCCAATTGCTCCCGTCTAATTTTTAAGGAAGTGTTTTCTTCAGTAAGCTTTTGGACTTCCTTTTCCATTTGGCCAATTTTGCTTTTTAGGGCATTCTTCTCCTCATTGGCTTTTTGGACCTCTTTTGCCATTTGATTGAGGCTATTTTTTAAGGTGTTATTTTCTTCAGTATGTTTTTGGGTCTCCTTTAGCAAGCTGTTGACTTCTTTTTTCATGATTTTTCTTGCATCACCCTCATTTTTCTTCCCAGTTTTTCCTCTACTTCTCTTACTTGATTCTCAAAATCCTTTTTGAGCTCTTCCATGGCCTGGGACCAATTCATATTTTTCTTGGAGGCTTTGTATGTAGGAACTTTGACTTTGTTGTCTTCTTCTGGTTGTATGTTTTGATCTTCTTTGTCTTTAAAGTAAGATAATATAGTTTGACTCTTTTTGCTCTGCTTGCTCATGATCCCAGCCAATTACTTGAGTTATAAACTCTTTGTTAAGGTAGGGGTCTGTTTCCAGTGTGGAGAATGTACTGTCCCAAGCTTCAGGGGTTTTGTGTAGCTGTTTTCAGAAATACTTCTAGGGACCTGTAAATTTTCAGTTTTTCCAAGGTGCTATGATCAAGGACAAGGTGTTTACTCCTTTCCTGGCCTGTGCTCTGGTCTGTGAGTGACCACAAGCACTCTTTTCTGCCTTGGAACTGTGAGGATTATTTTCTCTCCACCACCACTACAAGCTCCACCACTTCAGTGTTCCTCCTCACCCCAGGACCACCACCCAGCACTGTGACCCAAATCCTCTCGCGGGCAAAGCAGAGAATCCTGCTTCAGCAAAGAGATCTCTGCAATCCCCCTCTGATCAGCCACTTGATTCCCCCTCAGTCTGTGGGCTGGAAGTCTGGAAACCGCCACAGCTGCCTGTGATTCAATCCTCTGAAGCCTCCTCCAGGTTGGCCTGTGTGCCCACGCCAAACTGTGCTCCTTTCCCAGCCAGGCGCAATATACCTTTCAGATCAACCATCCAGGTTGTCTTAGGCTGGAAATTTGTTTCACTCTGTCTTTTTGTGAGTCCTGCTGCTTTAGAATTTGTTTAGAGCCATTTTGATAGGTATTTGGAGGGGTTTCGGGGAAGAGCTCAAGCAAGTCACTGCTTTTACTCTGCCATCTTGGCTCCATCCCCATCACACCCTTTTTGTTCCCTAGCTTGCTGGGCTTTTCTGGCAAGGCAGCATGGGGAATAGAGATGAGGGATTCACAAGATCCCAGGACTAGAGGCTCAGGGGGCTGGTAGTTCTGGGGAAGAGATGCTGGAGTGAGTGCTTGCTGTTTGTTTTTTCATATTATTTACTTTCCATTCTAAGTTCATGTCTTTTTGCTTTATTCTGATGTCATGTGTTTAATTCTGGCTAGGTCAGGAAGGGATCAGGGGTTTCATGAGCAAGATTTTGTAAGTAGATAGCAGACTCAAACAGGTTCGGAGAGCAGTAGGATGCTATATGTAAATGTAAGCTGTCAGGATTGATTATGAATGGCTGTGTTGAGGAAGGAATGTATGGGAATGGTCAGGTTGGCAAGAAGGTGATGGAAATTTCATCTCTGACAAAGAGTGTTCCTTTCTAAGTTCCACACCAAGCCACATGCCCTTCAGCAACCATTGGTAGAATCTTGTTTGCTTGCTTACCCTTTGTTGCTATAGCTGTTTCCCAGGCGCGTTATGCCACAGCCACCCTGCCCACAGGGTACTTAGAGCAAATTAATGGAGAGCTTGGGCAGACTACAAAAAGGAAAGATTTGGAAGACAAGAAGCAACCTGTAATGCCGAGATGGGAGACATGATGGGACAGTGAGGGCTGGAATACCAACACTTCCTGCTGGGTGACTTTTACACTCATACTTGTGTTTCTTAGTAATGATTACTAATTAGTGTCAACTAGGATATATGATAGTGTAATGACTCAGGGCAGAAACATTCAGTTGACTTGGGCCTTGTGACTGGAAGAGAATGAAAAAAATAACAGAATCATAGAATCTCCAGGTTAGAAGGGGGTTCAGAGACTAAAGTCCAAGACAGATACTTAATATTCTTTGAATGAAGACCTCTAGGGCAGGGGAACCCACTCCCTCCTAAGGCAATCTATTCTACTCTGGAAAATTCTTGTTTTTAGGCAGTTTTTCTTTATGCCAAAGCTTAGACTCTGTCTTTGTCACTTCCATGCAATATTCCAGATGTTCTACCATTCAGGGCCAAGCAGAACAAGTCTAATTCATTTGGCCTTTCAACATTTTTGAAGACCACGATCATGTCCCCATGAATCTGTTTTCCAGGTAAACATCCCCAGTTCTTCAACCACACTCCCCATTTAGCACGGTCTCCAGAATGCTAATTATCTTGACCGCCCACCTCTGCTCACCCTTGTGAGCAGCTTGTCAAAATCCTTCCTGAGGCAGCCAGCCAATATCATTTGTAAGGAAGAAACACTATCAGCCCAACAGGAGTGAGAAGATGCCGCCTTGTCGTGGTATGGGTGATGTGTTTTGATTCGCGGGTAAATTGGATTTAAGTGAGGCAGAGCTGCACAAAGTCATCGGCCTCACTGTCTTCTCCAGTCATCGCAGTCCAGAGGCAGGACAGAATCAAGATGACTGGCGATGGCTCAAGATGCAGTGGATGACCCTGGTACCTTCTGTGTCTAACAAAGCTCTAGGCACTCTGCAGCGCCTGCTTCAGCTGCCTTCATGGTCGTTGGAACAGATCGTTCTCATCCGCCCATTCCACCAGGGGAAGCCTTCACATGGTTGGTGTTGTACAGTTGGGTGTGAATAGTCGCAGGGGAGCACAACTCCCAGCTCACCAATGGGTTTGAGACTCTTCAGTTACCCTCAAACTGGTTTAGGCCATCTGCCAAAATGGTTGACTACGCTGTGGCTGCTGTACAGGCTATAGCTTCTTGGAGCCACAGGGGAGAGTTAGATGGAACAGCAGCCCTAAAATGGGCTCGGTAGCCTTCACACCAGAGGTACCAGCCTTCCCTGAACACACCCTGTACCCCACCCCCTCATCATCAATACAATTTAACACAATAATAGAAATATCTCTGTTGTTATTGAGTCGTGCCCAAGTCTCCATGGAGTGGTTGGCCATTTCCTTCTCTAGCACATTTTTACAGATAAGGAACTGAGGCAAACAGGGTTAAGGGACTTGCCCAGGGTCACACAGACAAGAAGTGTCTGAGGCTGGATTTGAACTCATGAAGATGAGTTCAAGCCCACTGCTCTGTCCACTATGCCACCTGGCTGTTATATATGATCATATAGATATGGGTATGCTAGTAGACACAATGAATTTTTTAAAATTCCCAGACATGATAGCAACAAAAAATTTACAAATTTTAATATTAACCTAACGTAGAACACGCAAAGACCTACATCAGGGAAATGTTAATGAGAGAAATAAAGTAAGATATACAAATGGAGAGGGATGCTTTTTTGTGTTCAGGTTAGAAACATTTATATGTAAATACAACAAAGACAACCATATGCCCTATGTATACACTTACCACCATACCAATTAAAATCCCACTGCAACTTTTTTTTTTTATTTATCAAATCTTTATTGAGTAAGTGGGGAAGGTTGGCAGGGTCCAGCTTAGTCTTTCTTGTCAGCAGCCTTCTTCATGGCAGCTAGGACGTTGCTGAGCTCCTCTCTCTTCCTCTTGGCCAAGATGTGAGTTCCCACCCTTTTTTTGATGACCTTAAGGGCTCGCTTATCCTTGAAGACCTTTGACAATTCCATGGCCCGCCTCTCATAAGGGGCAAATCCGCACACCTCCCGGATCCTATCTCTCACAGACTTGGTGTGTTTGGTCAAGCGCCCACGGCTGTGGCAGTGTCGTGGCTTGGAAACGTTTTGGGTAACTTTGTGGACCTTGTGAAGTCCTACGGCCATGGGGTACCAGATGGCCGTGACTGTGACACTACTGTAGGCCCAATGGCAGCCAGCAGAAGGAAGCCCACTGAAACATTTTGTAGAATTGGATAAAAATAGTTCACAATTTATGGGAAGACGAATGGACAAGAATACCAAACTGTACACAGGATGATAAATGTGATGATGAAGCCTTCAATCCAATCCAATCTGATCGAGTTCTACAAATGTTTATGAAGTGCTTACTGTGTAAAAGATATTGCATTAGGAGCTGTCATACAAAAACAAAAGGGAAACATCCCCTGTCCTCAGGGAGTTTATACCCTCCTAGGGGGATAAAACAAATATAAAGCATGTACAAAGTGGCTTTGAGAAGGAGAAAGACTAATCAACGGGGCGTCAGGACAGGTTTGTGAAGGAGGAGCCCTGAGCTGTGCTTGGAAAGAATCTGGAGATTCTGAAGAGGAGTGAGGATGGGAGGGAGCCTCCTGTGCAAAGTCAGGGAGACAGAAGATGAAACGTGTATGGGAAACAAACAGCAGGCCAACATAGCTAGAATGGAGAACATACAAAGGGAAGTAGGAAAAGAAAGGGACAGGTAGATGGGAACAGAGGGTTTCTTGTGTTCTCCCACCCCTAAGGAAGGGGCACCAGGCTTTTCTGACACTCTTTGGCTAGTTATGCGTCTGCTTGGGGAAAACCTCTAAAAACCTGTAAACCAAGCTTGAGATATCTTCCCAAAAGGGGTTAAGAGCATTCATTTTATGGCTTTTTAAATTCTATTTTTTAGATTTATTTATTTATTTTTAGTTTTCAACATTCACTTCCACAAGATTTTGAGTTTCAAATTTTCCCCCATCTCGTCCTTCCCCCACACCTCAAGATGGCATGCATTCTGAATACGCCTTCCCCTAATCTGCCCTCCCTTCTATCACTCTCCCCTCTTCTCTTATCCCCTTCCCCTTCAATTTTCCTGTAGGGCAGGATAGATTTCTATACCCCATTGCCTGTATATCTTATTTCCCAGTTGCATGTAAAAACAATTTTTTTAACATTTGTTTTTAAAACTTTGGGTTCCAAATTTTCTCCCTTTCTTCCTCCCCACCTACCCTCATTGAGAAGGCAAACAATTCGATATAGGTTACATATGTGTAGTCATGCAAAACACTTCCATAGTAGTCATGCTGTGGAAAACTAACTATATTTCCATTCACCCTATCCCGCCCCCTATTTATTCTATTCTCTCTTTTGACCCTGTCCCTCTTTAGAAGTGTTTGCTTCTGATTACCCCCTCCCCCAATCTGCCCTCCCTTCTATCATTCCCCTGCTCTCTTGTCTCCTTCCTCCCTATTTTCCTGTAGAGTAAGATAGATTTCCATACCCAACTGAGCATGTATGTTATTCTCTCCTTAAGCCAAATCCTATAAGAATAAGATTCACTCATTCCCTCTCACCTTCCCCCACTTCCCCTCCACTGTAAAAGCCTTTTCTTGTCTGTTTTATGTGAGATAATTTATTCCATTCTCCTTCTCCTTTTCTCCTTCTCCCATTATACTCCTCTCTCACCGCTTAATTTTTATTCTCCAGATATCATCCATTCATCTTCAATTCACCCTGTGCCCTCTATCTATCTATCTATCTATCTATCTATCTATCTATCTATCTATACATATACTTTTTCCCTCCAACTACCCTAATACTGACAAAAGTCTCATGAGTTACAAATATCATCTTTCCATGCAGGAATGTAAACAGCTGAACTTTAATAAGTCTCTTATGATTTCTCTTTCCTGTTTACTTCTTCATGTTTCTCTTGAATCTTGTATTTGAAAATCAAATTTTCTATTCAGCTCTGGTCTTTTCATCAAGAATGCTTGAAAGTCCTCTATTTCACTTAATATCCATTTTTCCCCTCAAGGGTTGCACTCAGTTTTGCTGATTAGGTGATTCTTGGCTGTAATTCTATCTCCTTTGCCCTCTGCAATATTATATTCCATGCCCTTGGTCCTTAATGTAGAAGCTTCTAAATCTTTTGTTATCCTGATTGCTTCCACAACACTTGAATTGTTTCTTTGTGGCTGCCTGCAATATTTTCTCCTTGACCTGGGAACTCTGGAATTTGGCTACAATATTCCTAGGAGTTTTCCTTTGGGGATCTCTTTCAGGAGGAGATTGGTGGATTCTTTCCATTTCTATTTTACCCTCTGGTTCTAAATATCAGGGCAGTTTTCCTTGATAATTTCTTGAAAGATGATGTCTAGGCTCTTTTTTTGATCATGGCTTTCAGATAGTCCAATAATTTTTAAATTCTCTCTCCTGGATCTATTTTCCAGGTCAGTTGTTTTTCCAATGAGATATTTCACATTGTCTTCTATTTTTTCATTCTTTTGGATTTGTTTTACAGTGTCTTGATTTCTCATAAAGTCACTAGCTTCCAATTGCTCCAATCTAATTTTTAAGGAAGTATTTTCTTCAGTAAGCTTTTGGACTTCCTTTTCCATTTGGCCAATTTTGCCTTTAGGGCATTCTTCTCATTGGCTTTTTGGACCTCTTTTACCATTTGGGTTAGGCTATTTTTTAAGGTGTTATTTTCTTCAGTATTTTTTGGGGTCTCCTTTAGCAAGCTGTTGACTTGTTTTTCATGATTTTCTTGCATCACTCTCATTTCTCTTTCCAGTTTTTCCTCTACTTCTCTTACTTGATTCTCAAAATCCCTTTTGAGCTCTTCCATGGCCTGGGACTGATTCATATTTTTCTTGGAGGCTTTGGATGTAGGAGCTTTGACTTTGTTGTCTTCTTCTGGGTTGTATATTTTGATCTTTGTCACCAAGGTAAGATAATATAGTCTGACTCTTTTTGCGCTGCTTGCTCATGATCCTGGCCAATTACTTGAGTTTTAAACTCTTTGTTAAGGTAAGAGTCTGCTTCCAATGTGGAGAATGTACTGTCCCAAGCTTTGGGGGTTTTGTGCAATTGTTTTCAGAGATACTTCTAGGGACCTGTAAGTTTTCAGTTCTCCCAAGGTGGTATGATCAAGGGCGAGTTGTTTACTCCTTTCTTGGCCTGTGCTCTGGTCTGTGAGTGACCACAAGCACTCTTTTCTGCTTCAGAACTGTGAGGAGGATTCTCTCTTCACGGCCACTACAAGCCCCACCATACCAGCGCTCCTCCTTGCACCAGGATCACCACCCAAACCTGTGACCCGTATCCAAGCACGGGCAAAGCAAGAGAATCCTGCCTCAGCACCAGGAAAGAGATCCCTGCAATCCTGCTCTGATCAGCCACTTAATTCCCCCTCAGTCTGTGGGCCAGAAGCTCCAGAAGCAGCTGCTGCTGTGGGGCTACAGCCAGGGCTGGAGCTGGGACCACACTTCTCTCTCACTGTGGTCAGACAGACTTTTCTTACTGACCTTCTAAGTTGTCTTTGGCATTTGTGGGTTGAGAAGTCTGGAAACCGGCACAGCTAACTGTGATTCAGTCCTCTGAGGCCTGTTCCAGGTCCACTGAGGCCTGTTTTGCCTGTGTGCCCACACCAGACTGTGTTCCTTTCCCAGCCAGGCACAAAAGACCTTTCTAATCACCCATCCAAGTTGTCTTGGCCTGGAAATTTGTTTCACTCTGTCTTTTTGTGGGTTGTACTGCTGTAGAATTTGTTTAGAGCCATTTTTTACAGGTATTTAGAGGGGTTTGAGGGAGAGCTCAAACAAGTCACTGCTTTCACTCCACTATCTGGGCTCCGCCCCCCCCAGGGTCCATTTTAGAAAGGTGTTCAATGGATGAAGTAACAGCAGTGACAGCTAGCATTTATATGGTGCTTTAAAGCTTGCAAAGTGCTGTACGTATGTTGTCTCATCAAATCCTCACCTACAATTGTTAATCAACCAAGGAGAATGGGTGTGGCACAATTATTTATTTCCTGCACAAAAGCAATATTTTTTTTCATTAATTTATTTTTAGTTTTCAACAATCACTTCCATTTGCTTTTGAGTTTTAAATTTTTTCCCCCCTCCTCTCTCCCTTCCCCAAGATGGTGTGCAATCTGATATAGGCTCTACATATACATTCCTATTAAACATATTTTCACATTGGTCATGTTATAAGGAAGAATTAGAACCAATAGGAGGAACCACAAGAAAGAGGAAACAAAACAAAACAGAAAGAAAAAAGGAGTACATAATATGATTCCATCTGCATTCCAACTCCATAGTTCTTTCTCTGGATGTGGCTAGCATTTTCCATCATGAGACCTTTGGAGATGTCTTAGGTCCTTGCATTGCTGAGAAGAGCCAATTCTATCATAGTTGATCATCACATAGCATGGCTGTTACTATGTATAATGTTCTCCTGGTTCTGCTCATTTCACTCAGCATCAGTCCATACAAGTGTTTTCAGGTTCTTCTGAAGTCAGCCTATTTATCATTTCTTATAGCACAATAGTATTCTATTATGTTCATTTACCACACCTGGTTTAGCTATTCCCCAATGGATGGGAATCCTCTCAATTTCCAATTCTTTGCCGCCACACAAAGAGCTGCTATGAATATTTTTGTACATGTGGGTCCTTTGCCCATTTTTATGATCTCTTTGGGATACAGCCCTAGAAGTGCTATCGCTGGGTCAAAGGCTATGCACATTTTTATAGCCCTTTGGACATAGTTCCAAATTAAAAGCAATATTTTTAAAACACTAAGAAGCTCACAATAACATGTATTCAAAAAAATGATACAATCACCTACCATGTCTTACGCTGTCCTGGGAGTCTGATCCTTAAAACATGAAAGTTTGTACAATTGATATTGCCTTCTCAGTGGATGGGAGTGGGGAGGGAGAGAGTTTGAAACTCAAAATGTAAAAAGAAAAAAATACTAAAAGTAAATTAATAATCACTTTGTGTTAAAAAGAAATTTTATCATGGAAGTCCCATTTTGTGAGACTGCTGAATAGATATTTTACTCTCATTTTGGATCTCTTCTGGCCAGTCAGGCACAGATGGCTCATCTTTCTCTCCATAGTCATATTCTCTTTTTAGAACTCCCATGGTAGCGGGAAGCA